TGTCTTATACTTTGGACTCTAATTCTGCGAGATTCTAGACATTGTCTATTTTTGTCCTTATTTTCCCCATTCCCCTATTTGCTGAGACCCTAAAATTTGGTGAGAATCACCAATAAAATTCATTTCATCTATGAACTTTCCCTTCTCTTATTAACTGTAACAAAGCATTGTTCTATCCTGGTAATACTGCATTTCTACAGTCTCTTCAAATGGTGATTGCATTCTTTCCCTAATACCATGGTGCCTGGCATCTTCAGGGCATTCTTTCTTTCTCTTTCATAAAAGATATCCTCCTTGAATATCATGTTATTAGATTTTACTCTTTATTTATTATCCCATCTTTAAGGTAAGAATTTTTTAAATAAATTGTTTGGTCAGAAGATTAATTTATTTAGACAAATCCCTCCAGTCTTATGAATTTAGCGCTCTACATACAAAATTAAAAACCAGAGTCTTGAATGGAAGTTCCAAAACTTTCTAGATTCATGTAGCCCCTAGTGTCTCAGTAAATTTTTTAAATGGCACTCTGAGGTCAAAAGAGTTCTTAAGTAAAGTGAACTGACATAATAAAAATATCATTGTCCTAACAACTTCATGTCTTTGGGCACAAATGACTTCTGAAACTTTGGGAATAGACTGAACACTGCCTGTTCCACATTCATTTTTGCATGGCTCTCTTGCATTTTTACAGCAACCTCCAAGTCTGCAGCCTCCTAAGATGCCATGAAAAGAAAAGTAGCCATCTGATGCTCAAGCTATGAACTAAATGCCTCAGCAGTGGTAGGTAGCAGGTAGTATTTAGAGTCAGATCTGAGTTCTGTATGGAAATTTGACCAAGTTTTTAATTTTTTTTGTTCGCTTACTCATATGTGCATACATTGTTTGGGCTGTTTCTCCTCCCTACCCCTTCACCCTCTCCCTTTCCTCCCCCACCACTCGCTTCCAGGTAGAATCCGTTCTGCCCTTATCTCTAATTTTGTTGAAGAGAAAGTATAAGCAATAATAAGAAAGACAAAGGGTTTTTGCTAGTTGAGAGAAGGGTAGCTATATAGAGAGATTCCTAGCATTGCTTCCGTGTACAATAGTGTTACATCCCAAGTTGATTCATCTCTACCTGACCTTTTCACTAGTTCCTGATCCCTTTCTCATACTGACCTCTGTCTCTTTAAGCTTTCTGTATTAGTTCCTCTGTAGTGGGGACATCAAATACTATCATGTTTTGGATTTCTCACCTATCCCCATACCTCCCGTGTGTGTTTTCCTGTTATCATGTAACCCAAGTTCGACCACATTGCTGTATTTGCTCTCGATCTAAAGTCTGCATATGAGAGAGAACATACGATTTTTGGTCTTCTGAGCCTGGCTAACCTCGCTCAGGATGATGTTCTCCAGTTCCATCCATTTACTTGAGAATGATAAGATTTCATTCCTCATGGTTGAGCACAATTCCATTGTGTATAAATGCCACATTTTCTTAATCCATTCATCAGCAGTGGGGCATCTTGGTTGTTTCCATAACTTGGCTATTGTGAATAGTGCTGCAATAAACATGGGTGTGTAGGTGCCTCTGGAGTTAACTGAGTCACATTCCTTTGGGTATATCCCCAGGAGTGGGATTCCTGGACCATATGGCAGATCTATGTTTAGATTTTTAAGCAGCCTCCAAATTTTTTTCCAGAGTGGTTGCACTAGTTTGCATTCCCACCAGCAGTGTACGAGGGTTCCTTTTTCCCACATCCTCACCAACAACTGCTGTTAGTGGTGTTTTTGATGATGGCTATTCTAACAGGGGTGAGGTGGAATCTTAGTGTGGTTTTGGCAAGGACTTCCTGAATAGAACCCCAGTAGCTCAGCAATTAACAGAAAGTATGGACAAATGGGACTTTACAAAATTAAAAAGTTTCTGCACAAGTTTTTAAATTTTGTTGAGCTTCACTTTCTTTTCCTGCAAAGTAGTGTTTTCAAGCCTATCCATAAGGCTTTGTAGAGACTGATGGTGGAATCCTTGGCATAATAAATACTTGGATCATGGGATTCAAGGAGTATTTTGGTCCTCTAATCAATAGTAGAAGTTAGTGAATATCAAATGGTTTATTTGTACCCAGACTTGATTACTAAGAAGTATGATAGTGGTTTTATTTGAAATGAAAATTTAAATTAGTAGGAATATTTCAGATATTATTAAAAATGAATTTTCAGGTAGAAATTTTTCCAGTTCAGTGTAGATTTTAGTTTAAGTTTTACTAGTCATTGGAAAAGTAACTTTGTATCACACTTGCATCTTTCAGATGGTGACGACAGCACTGTGATGGGTGAAGTATCAAGAGTGAATGTGCTTAGCACATAGTAGGCACTCAGTCAGTGTCAGTCTCTTTCTTCCTGCTTTCTAGAGTTTATTTTCCATTAAGACTGTTTTAACAGATTTGGTATTTCTGAGGGGATATGTCTATATTTTTCTTAGAAGGCTGGCAGAAGAAAACACAAGACTTTATGCCACAGTTAGACTGGGGATAATGGCGTGATACTGCCACAGAATTTATGGATAATAGATTCCCTTTGATGTCTGTTGATATTTTCTGCTTTAGAATATAGTACAAAGACCCTGTCTAGAATGTCTGCAGTAATGTACGCATCAGTTACTAATTACCTCTGGATGAATTATGTCAGAAGTTTTATTCTCTCTTGCCCTTGGCTTTGACAAATATAAGGTGTCTAAAGTGGAGAAAAAAAGTTGACTCTATATAGATTTTTATTGCGGCACTGGGGTTTGAACTCAGGGCCTCACACTTCCTAGGCAGGCACTCTTACTGCTTGAGCCACTCTGCCAGCTCTTTTTTATGATGGGTATTTTCAAGAAAGGGTCTCACAAACTATTTGTCCAGGCTGGCTTTGAACCGCTATCCTCCTCATCTCTGCCTCCTGAGTAGCTAGGATTATAGGCATGACTATCGGCGCTGGGTTCCAGTCCTAGATTCTCATGTTTTTGCCCAAGCCAGCCTTGGATTGTAATCTTCCTACCTATGCCTCCCATGTCGCTGGGACTGTAGTGTGAGCCACCATTCTAAGCCTTTCTTTGAGATAGGGTCTCCCTCGCTTTTTTGGCCTGGGTTGGCCTTGAATCACAGTCTTATCTTTGCCTCCCAAGTAACTCCCAAGTGAGCAGTGGACCTAGCCTTAAACAGATTGCTATTTGAGACACAACTATTTATTAGCAAGTTGATTTATATTAATTCAGTTGAATTTTTTTTCATTAAAACAGGTTTATTTGTTTATAGATGGGGTATGGTTCTCTGTCTCCCAGATTGAGAGTGTTTTTTTAGAAAGCAGTTTCCTTCATATATTCAACCTGAATTTATAAGTTACTCTCTCTTACCTGACTTAAATCTCCCTTTTGTAATTGAAAATTTTAAATATGCTCTGTCTTTGAACTTGAAAAGTAGATCTTAAACCCTCTTACTATTATATTAGCAATGACTGTAGTAGAGAATTCCAGTTGTGGTGAAATGGCTTCAGTAGAAGGTTATTTTAGTCAGAGCTGCCTCTCTCCTTTCTTCACTCTGTGGGATCTCGAAGGGAACTGGGAGATGTGTGGACACCCTGAAATGAGAGACTTGTTTTATGGAAAATGAGTAAGAGAAAAGCAGGAAGTGATTTATTTGCAAGTGGAAGAACTGGCAGTCGTAAGAATTCTCTTAAGTTCAGATATTTTAACTCTAAAACATTACAATTTTCAAGTAGTTTATCTTCTTCATTTTTTAAAAGAAATGGATAAGTAGCTTTCTTTGTAGATTTCTTTCCACGTGCCATTGCTACAGATTAAAAGCAAGAGATTGATATTTATCTCTGATGACATATTCCCATAATTCTCAGATATTTTCCCTTTTCTTTTTTGACATTTTTATTCCTGTACATAGATAAATGAAGACATTAAAATATATAGGGGAAAAGATGAAAATATCAGCACTCACGACTTAACAGTGGTTGAATTTAGATAAGTGCTATATGACTTCACTTTATAAATCTGACTTTTCTGTATTTTAAGATTTGGTTTGAAAGGTACACTTTAATGGGTATTTCTTTAACTTAAGAATGAGTTTTCATATAATCTATTAAATATAGAAATTGAATGGATACATCAGGTGCCCTGGTTAATCTGTTTCTTCAAGCTATTTTTACCTGGCATATGATGCTTAGCATCTTAAATATATAGTGCTTTTGAGCATAAAATAGATACCAGGGTCAAGATACAAAACAATTTTTGTCAATATCCATTCTTTTTGCAATCTGTAGCACAGAAGAGAGTAATTTAAAACAAAACTGTCTACAATGTATGCATGCATACCTAAAAGCTAATCAGTTAATGTTTTCTCTCTGTTTTTGGTCAGGTGACTGCATAGTGTTTAAATGTAATTAAAAAGAAGAGGCAACACATTATAACCCCCCAACATTATTCCATAATCTCACTTTCAGTCAATATTATATTTGTAAGTAATTTAGGCTCTGTTTTAAAAAAAATCAGCCACTACTATGTGCATTTGCATTGATGTTACATAAGCTTTTAATATATAACTTAATCTCTTTGAATATATAACTTAATCTCTGAGATGCTATTTGGTTGAGAGGCCTCAGTTGATTAGACATAGGTGTTCTCATTGCAAAATCAGAAACATAGTAATTGCTATATTACATGGAATAAAGTATGGAATAAAAAAGGTAAAGTTCATGAATTTGAAAATATTTAAGCAGTTCCACATATACAAAACCCTTCTATATACTCCTAGATGATAGTCCCTGATTTAAGAAAATGCTTGGTTTGACATTTAGTAATTAAGCCTTTTTGTCTAGTCTCAGCAGAGCTATGTACAAACCAGACTTTGGTTTTTAAGTGTTAAAAAATGGAGCAGATAGCTACCAGAATACACCTTTACAGTAGGAGTAAGAAGCAGTTTAATAAGTCTACATTCATTTCCTATTTAGTTGCTAAATATTTAAAGAATTTTTAGAGAAATTACTTGCTCAATTCAGTGCTTTCTATAAAACATTGCAAAATTGTGTGCACCTGCAAGTTAAACCATAATGTATAACAGGCTCAAAGTGAACAGAATTTGATTGCAGACCTGAAGCTGGATTTCTTGGTTTTGTCACTAGAAACATATTTTGGTAGAATATGCTCAGAATTTTTTGAACAGTCCATGAAAGGTGACAGGGATATTAATTTCCACTTCAGCCCTGGCAACTTCACTCAAGTCCTTGGCATTCAGAATCAGGAGATAGGCAGGCTTTTGTCCTGCCCCAGGGCTCACCACCACACTCAGAACTACACCTGTTAATCAGAAGTAAATGAGGCAGTTTTGAATTTCAAAGATCCACGGACTGTAGATTAAATGTCATTGAAATAATATAGGAGGTATTACATTGACCAAGAAAAGCTTTTGACTTGATTTCTTGTTCTGACTTTTCTACCACTTGAATGCATGACCACTGTAAAGGGGCCTTTTAAACAGTTCTTTCCTGTACTATAAGCTCTAGGAAGGGGACTACCATGTCTGGGTTGCTCACTGCTATACCCAATATTCTACTATGGTGACTACCAACCACCATATGCTCATTAAATAGTTAACGAATGAATGGATTGATGTTCTTACTTGTAACAAAAGAATATAACACTTGTTGTACCTACTGCCCAAAAGTTGTAATTCTTATATGAAAATGTATACTAAAAGACTTTAAAAGAAGCAAGGTATATTATATCTAAATTTCCAAGATCTACATGGAAACTGACTTCCTTCAAACAAAACAAGAGGACAGGTAGAGTGGCTCAAGCAGTAGAGTACCTGCCTAGGAAGTATGGGGCCTAGGAAGTATGGGGCCCTAAGTACAAACCCCAATACCACAAAAAAAAAAAACCCAAAACAAAAAGCAAAAGCAAAAAATGAGAACAAACCTTTTGCACTTTTATCTGAATGGGTAAAATATATAAAATTATTTGGCATAAGATGGCCCCATGATTATTTATCTCAATCTTCTGTAGCTTCCCATATTCGAATCCCAGAGAGTGGGCTCTATCCCCCTGTCCCAACTAATTAACCATCAATTAAGACTTATGCTTTATAATTGAGTTGTTCTACTAGTGGAGTGGCTTTGGATCCCTTTCCAGCTCCAGCTTACTAAAAGAACAAATCAAAACTAGAGTCATACAGCTGCATGCTCATTCTTTATCTTTTAGAATGTACCAGTTCCCTTCTTAGAACTACATCCTTTTCAAAACTGTGTCTTGGTCAGGAAAAGCAAACCCCTGGAATTCCCGATGCTATGCTTTCTCCTTCTCTCCTCATCCTGAGCTCCACCATTATGACACCAAATGGTGGTTTAGCATTTTTCTATTAGCAGTCTACAATACCTGATCTTAAGATGAAGCTTATTTTCAAAGACATTTAAATTCTCTACTGCTGCCCCATCTATAGTGTTAAGAATCATTTTTGAACATTAGGGAATTATCAGCATCACTCCTCTCCCAATGAACTAGCACATAGAAATCCAGTAAAAAGAGAGTGTTCAGACACATCCATTGCTTTCATTACCATCATCTTCTTCCAAGGCATCTGGGTGAGAAACAAAGATGGGTTCTGAGGGGTATGAATCCGGCTCTTGCCACACCCAAGTTTCTTTAGTTTTGACATTCAGTTTACAGAGCTGCTTGTAAGAAATAGAAATCAGTGCATCGGTCACTGTGCGTTATTTGACGAGCATATGACTTAAAGAACTGTCCCAATGTTAGTTACGTGGATTAATTACCCTGTCTGGAACAAAGTGATTCAAGCCAAGTCCGTATGTGTACGTATAAGGTTTCCCTCCATACTTCCGGTAATTGATTTGCGGAAACTCGAATGCTACAAAATAGAGCACACACTTAGGAAAACCCAGCTAATCTCTTTGAGTAGGACATTTGTTCCCTTCCAAGTGAGAAACTCTAGATCAGCTCACCTTGCCGAGGCCCTGAAAAGAGCACCTCGGGTTCCAACCAGATGGTCTCGTCACTGCACAGAATTGCTGTAGCAGTTGTGTTGGGGAGTGTCACTAAATTCTTGCCTGTGTTAGCCTAAGAAAGAAAATCACAGGACCCTCAGTGAGCAGGAAAAAAAACTTTAAGCAGCCATAAATGCAGTCATCCCAGCTTTTGTCTCCTGAGCTTTTCTTAGGTTGCCATGTAGGGAGAAGCACTGCAGGAAACCAGAGATAAGGGAATCCTGGAAGGCAAGGGCAAGCTGTCTGCTTGTGCCAGCCACTGGCAGAGGACCACAGGGGAAGGCACATGATCCCTTAGGCCTTTAGTTTTTTCACCTGTAAAATGGAGAAAATTCAGAACTCTGAGGAAGGACCTCTGCAAGCACATAAATGAATGAATGAATGAATGAATAAATAAATAAATAAATTTCTTCAGAACAACAAATATACAAACTGCTTGAGTGATAAAAGTTCTAATCTCTTGCAATAGGATATATTTTGGGTTTTATATATATGTATATAATATATATACATAAATGTATATTTACATATATATAAAATATATATAATATATATAGTATATAAAAATATATATACAATACATTAAAAAATATATAATATATACATATTTGCAGAAACTCGAATGCTACAAAATAGAGCACACACTTAGGAAAACCCAGCTAATCTCTTTGAGTAGGACATTTGTTCCCTTCCAAGTGAGGAAACTCTAGATCAGCTCACCTTGGTGAGGCCAAATATATATATATATATATATATATATAAAACCCATGCAGTTATGTTGTCAAAAAGAAAAGTATAGCTGGGTGCTGGTGGCTCAGGCCTGTAACCTTAGCTACTTGTGAAGCTGAGATTAAGAGGATTGCTGTTCAGACCAGCCCAGGCAAATAGTTCATGAGACACCGTCTCCAAAACAACCAGAACAAAATGGACTGAGGGTGTGGTAGAGTGCTTGCTTTGCAAGCAGGAAGCTCTGAGTCCCACCAAATTTTATACACACAAACACACACACACACAAACACACACACACCTATACACTCACACACACACCACTGGGCCAGATAAAACATTTATCTCATACACACATGTGTGGGCATGCACACACATACAAGACTCTTCAGAGTATTTTATGAAAACAGAGGAAGGGGGATCAGACGTGTGAAGGGTAGGTTGGTTGAGATTTTAATAGAGTGTCCTTTTTGTAAAAGTGGCACTTAAGATAAAGCTCCTAGAAGTCAAAGAAATCAGCAGTACATTCAAGTAGAGAACAAAGAGAGCAGGGCCCGAGGAAGGAGATGCTGAAGGTGCTTGAGGAACATCAAAGAAACAAGGTGGTGGCAGTTCATTGAGTAAGGGGAAAAAGGAGAGTTGCATAGAGTTCTTGGGTGTAGGTTATATAGAGGCTTATAGATCAGTATGAAGACTTGGACTTTCTCTGTGAAAGAGTGATAGGAATCTATTGGAGGGTTTTGAGCAGAGGAGAGATAGGCTATGATTTATTTTTAAAAGAATCACTCTGGCTTCTATCTTGAGTTTACTGTTGGGTGTAGGGGATATGCAAGAATGAAACCAGTTTGTCTTATACTAGTCTAACCCAAAGAAAATGGTTTCAGCTAGACTGGTAGCACTGGAGTCACTGAGGCATAAGAAACAGAGTCAAGACTATTTCTTGATGGGTAGGATTTTAAAGTAAAAGGACCATCATATATAGCACCATGCTGTGTGCTGGTGACTCACACCTATAATCCTAACTACTCAGGAGACAGAGATCAGGAGAATCGCGGTTCAAAGCCAACCCTGGGAAAATAATCTGTGACATCCTACCTTGAAAAACACCCATCACAAAAAAAGGGCTGGTGGAGTGGCTCAAGGTGTAGGCCCTGAGTTCAAGTCCCAGAACCGGACAAAAAAAAAAGCATAGCACCATGGTGTTTGGTTATAACAATTTAAAATTGTCATTTTCACAGCAAAGATTAGAACTGCTGAGGTGCTGCAGTTGAGGAAGATGAGAAGGTCAGGTTTTGTGTTATTGAATTTAAGATGTCTGGGATACTAAATGGAGATGTGGAGTTGGCAGTAGGTCATAAGAACCTTGAGTTTAAGGAGATGTGAGAAATGAAAATGTGGGCTATTTCAGAACATCTGTCTGTGGAAGGGGGTGAGTATGCAAATCGATGGTAGGGGAGCCACGGACTGAGTTCTGGTACCCTCCAACACGAGGAAGCAGGTAAGGGTAGTTGGTTGGGGCAAAAGAAATTGAGAAGATTTTGTAAGAGTTTGATGTGAATGATACATTGAAGAGGGTAGGGAGAGGATGATCTATCAGAAAAGGGAAAAATTGTGAGAGTGATATCTCCGAGTGGGTGAGGGAGGATGGGAGAGATTAGCTCTGGACAGGAAAATGGATAATTTGGTACATGTGTGCAGATGCTGGTGGGTGGACAGATATGGTAGTAGGAGTCTGTGGTTGTCTTTGTATTTCTTTCATTTGTTTCAGAGGAAAAGGAAGTATAATCATCATCTACATATGAGTGTCAAGGTGGGAGGTGTAAAAGTTTGAGGAGAGGAGGGTGTGGAATATTTAATTAGCAAAGTGAGGCAGTAAATGAAGTTTGGAAATGCAGCAGTAAGGTTTGTGGTCATACATTTAAAATTGCACTGATTAACATGATTGTGTGTTTGTAGCACGTAAGTTTGGACTCAGAGGTACAGAGACATGGAGTGAGCGGATAGTCTAATTTAACTTGGGTTATGTTTTTGATAAATGAGTTTGATATAGTAAGAAAGAAATGAAAGGGGGGTATCATAATTACTGAGCATGTAAATTGAATTGAGTGAGGAAGGAAGGTAAGTTCTTTAAAGGAGTGAGGGATAGTGAGAATGTATATACTCAATGGATTGGAAGATCAGGGTAAGAATTGCAAGTAGGCCAAGTGATAGTGACAGACAAATGGTGGCAGTCAGAGTATGTAATAGATGAAACTGAAATTATGGAAGAAACTAACAAGGTCAAGGGTCTAACTGTGGGGAGTGAACTTTGGGTAGTGAAAGCTGAGACAGGAAAAGACAAGACCAGTGGAAGAGGTCAAGGAACCGAAAAGTCATGGTGTCACCTATAATGCATACATGGGAATCTTACTTTATACTCGCATTCACATTTTTTACACATCAATGACTACATTATCACAGTTCCGTAACATTACTAGATTGTGAAACAAATATTTGAACAAGATGTTTAGGCACTAAATCATTCAGGCATATTTGTTTTCAAATAATTTTTCATGACCCAAACCTATTGAGCGATGCAGGACTTATGGGTTGCCTTGGTGTTGAGAGAGGAGACATTGTGCCCAGAAATAGTGTGGTCGCATAAGGTAAGCCCAAGACAGAAAAATATATCCATATTGCCTTGGATGAGCAAAGGCTATGAGGGAGAAGATAATGAGCTTTGAACATTTTACCATGTGATAACGATCTGCTTTGAACCATACATCTACATCCACAAATAACATTAATTTTAAAACATGAGTAAAGCCTGCTTCTTTTCCTAGGAAGCTTGAAGATAGACAACTAGAAAAGTATCAAAATCACTACATTCAGTAAATGCATACTGTTACCAGTCATGAGACTGTTTTATAAGTACTGAAAGTATAACCGTGAACAAAATTGACATAAGTTTCATTGGTCTTACATTCTAGTGAAGTTAAGTCTTACATTCTAGTGAAGTTAAGTCAGCCATAAACATACTGAATTCAAGAAATTTATAGGCATACATTGAAATCTGTATGAAGTAAGGTATAGGAGATGAACTGGGAAGAAAGTGACATTGAGCCAGGAGCTAGAGGAAGTGGTGGTTAGCAGATGACAATTCTTAGGATTGCATATATGGATATGTATACATACCATTGGCTGTATGAGTAATTGAAGAATTTAAAGCAGGGGAACTTTAAGGGTGAATGGAGGAAGCAATGATATGGAAACAACACGAGGAACACAGAACCCTATCTCAACTCCAAGGCCACTGGTACAGGGCCATACCCTCCAGGAGAACAGATTCTTCTGGAAGTTGCTGCTGGGGAGACTGGTATCCTTGAGAAAGAGCCAGAATTTGGTTAAAGAAAGAGAAGAGAACATTCCAAGGCAAGGTATAAGTTTTTCCTTTTTTTTTGTGGTGGCAGACTATGAATTAAGAGTAAATAGTAGAAAATTTTCAGTATAGGGAAGGAATGGGAGGTAGAAAGAGAAGGAGACTCTGATTTTGGAGTTTCTAGGGACTTAGGGCTTATGCTGGGAAGAAGTGTGTTTGTTCACATATTTATATAAATTTATACACCTAGGTGCAAATGTCTGTCAAAAATATTATTTATATGGTTTTAAGTTGAATTTATTGTTTTGTCTTGAGTTTTATTAAATTTGGTTTTAATATGAAAATCTGTAACATTATTTTGTTTTCCTTAACAAACGAGATCCTGCTTTTGCTTCCCTTTTTTATTTTATTTTTTTTAAAAAAAATAGATGCATTTACCCTTTGACTCAGAAACCTCCCTACTAAGAATCTGTCCTATGGATACATCTGCACATAAAAGAAATAACATACATATAATAAAGTTATTTTTTGTGACATCATTTGTAATAGCCAAAGATTGGAAACAATTCTGTTGCCCAGCAGTGAAGGATCGAGTAAATAAACTGGGGTATGTTCACTAAGAGAATATTGTGTACTTTCAAAAAGCAGTGTATACCGTATGCCACAATACACGTTGCTAAATGAAAAAAGCAAGGTATGAAAACTTGCTGTGGATATAGAAAGTAGAGAACGGATATAGAAAGTTCCTTTTCATGTAAAAGAATGAGAAATAGTAATTATATACACATTCGTGCTTTTATTTCCTCATACTTGCACGTGCAAAGGAGAAGAAAGATAACAAAATTATGCACAGGAAGTGAGGGAAAATAGGATGGAGTGGATGGAGAGAGAGGATGGAGTAAGACTTTCCAGTGTATTCCTTTCTATATTGTTTTGATTTTTTTGACCATGTAAATATACCACCTTTCCAAAAATAATAAATATTGAAAGATACTATCATTATCATAACCAGTAAATTAAAACCTCACTCATTTTGCACTTTTTTCCTATCCTTCTCTCGATCTGTTTATTGGACTTCCATCCCCTAGTTAATGACTTTTCTATTTTCCCTTTCACTGCCTTTGAAAGTGTGAACTCAGTAACTGCTCTCACATGCTCACTGTCTGCTCACTTTAGTGGTTGAAAACCAATTTCTGCCCCTCTCTCTACTCTCTGGCCCGAACAATGTATGCACATATAAATAAATAAAGAAAGAAAAAAAATCACCACATCTAGAGCTTGGTTCTTAGTCTTCATCCTTTTCAACCTGTCTATAGTGATGGGCACTACTAACCTCCTCTCCTGCCCTGAGCTGGGTAGCATTTGCTCTCTCAGTGGTGATATGGCTCTGGTGGCATTTTCTATTTCTTCTTTTGGCTCTTTATTCTTCTACTTTCTGTACATGGGAGTTTCCTGAATTTTGTGGTTGGCTATTGTTTTTTCTCTCTTGATAGTCCCTGGCTATTAAATTCCTCATTTAAAAATAAGCAGTCTCATCTATTATTATATATTTGATCATCACTTCAATACCAACAACTATCAGCTTTTCTTCTGTTCAAAAACCTTCACTGTCTCCCAATTACCTGTCTAGAAAAATACAAACAATGTTGACCATACATTTAGAAAAATACTTCCTTTTTCCTTATTTTGGAACATGGTTATTTAAATAATCCTTTTTTAAACTTCCTTAAAGATGATTGTGATTTTGTCATTACTAGTGAAGTAAGAGTTTACCAAAATCAACTGGCTTAACCAGTTCAGACATGTCATCAACTACATACCTCCTAAGAGAAAGAAAGAGAGTGCGTACAGCACCTGACTGGTCACTTTCCAGGGCCTCTTCTGAGCTCCTGGCTACACATCTCTTGAAAATTTCTGTTGCAATGACCAGTCAGTACTTTCAAGTACGCAATAAATCTTTTTCTTCTTCTTACAGATCAGGTCCTCTTACTTTTGGGATCTAGTTCCCACACAACTGCTCAGGTCAGAAATCTGGAAGTCATTTTGAAATCCTTCACAGGCAACTAGATGCAAAGTCTTGTGCTCCTACCTCCTAAACATTTCTCAACTTTGTACCTTCCTTTATCTCTTGGTTGCTTTTTTCTTTATTCAGATATTTATTGTCTTTCATGTACCCCATTGCATGTGTGCTTGAAGAGAGCTTCCAGCCTTTAGCCTCACCATCATGACACTGCCAGAGTGAGCTTTCAACACATAGCCCACACTTGACCCCTCACCATTCATCTATTACCCAAAAGGTGATAAAGCCCCTCAGAATTTATCATTCCAAACCATCTTTCCAGTTCATGTGGTCAATACCCATTTCCCCTGTGCTCCCAAAGAATTAGCAACAGTGACTACATTTCCATATTGTCTTGCTTTTTAAACTCAGGGCCTTTGTAGAAGCTCCTTTGTCTACCTGTATTCCCCAACCTCATCTTCCTCCTCCTTTCTCTGTAGTCACAGAACTTATACACTTGCTTAAGAGCAGTAGCATCTGGTTCTAAATTGGGTTATTTTCTACTATGTCCAATCAATGCCTTTGGTTCAATGTTTTACATTCCATGTAGCTGCCTCAACTCCTTTTGTGAAACCAGGGAGGATAGACAGAAAGAGAGTGTATGTGCATGTATTTATATGTGAAATTTCTACTTTTCTTGGTTTTGACTGGCATTTCCATAAAAAGTACAGATGTTACTGTGATTATTCTGAAAACAGAGTCATTGGAGGCAGCAATGAAAAAGTAAAAGTAAAGAGATGACTATGTTGGGGCTTAGAAAACAATTCCCCAAATATGTACTTTGAACTTCAAATTGAGAACCCTTGGGGAGGTCTTTCTCCAAAATTCCCTGATTTACTTGAGGATCAGCTCCACCAAATAGAAACACAATTGCCTTCAAATGTTCTCACTGAAATTCCACTTCCCAAGGAAGATTACATTTGTATCACAGAGGAAGAGACTGAAGCCCAAACCTAGAGCCCAGAGGAACTTTGTTTCTGGCCATTGTCTGTTCTACAGGCTCATTCATTTTTCCAGAATCATTCCTCTTCCTCTACAAGTGTCTATAGCTCTATAGACACTTTCTATGCTTTCCTCTTACATATGAAGAAATTATTTAAGTCTCAATCTGCTGGACTTTCTTTGAGTTTCAGAGTTTTGTAGGACTCCTATGTACATGCACATGTTAACAAATTTCTATGCCTTTTCTTCTATAACTATTTCTATTGTCAGTTTGTTTCAGTTACTAAACCATCAGGAAAAATTTGAACATCCTTGCAGTTGCCTAATGCAATTAATGATTTCTGACCTCTAGTAATATTTTCAGATTTATAGAAAACCAAAATAGTAGACTGATTTCTGTGGAAGGGTACTTTCTGATGCTTCATGTCTCCAGACTTGAAAGTTCCTTAAGGTACCTATATTATTGACAGATTCAGGGGGTCTGCACTCTTCACTAGAAAACCATGCTTCTGGAAGAATTTTGAACTGAGAGAGCAGCAGATTCAGAATCAGGAAACCTGGCTCTTTTCCTGTTCTACTGCCATTGGCTTTTGCTAAATTATACCATTCTTCTGAGTCTCAGTTTCCTCATTTGTAAAACAAGGGAAGTTCCATTAGTTTATTTTTAAGGCTTCTTCTAGCCCTGAAATCTCAAGAGTTTATATATAATCATGAAGGAATCTCAATTCCTGAGAGAGATGAAACATCTTGATGATATTTGACATCTGTGTAGAAATGGTTACCTTGTCAATGTTCAAAGGAAGCACATATCTTCTAACTTCAGGTTGTGGAGCCTTTCTGGCATTTTTTTTCACCTCTTCCCAGTTTTCTCGTAAATTGGCTAAATATAAGTAATTATAAACAAATTCAAATCTGTAAAAATGAGAAATATGAATAGAATTACAAATTTTTGTTGTTGCTGTTATTTTACCTTTTGAGACACAGCTCAGTTGGCCTCAAACTGGGATCCTCCTGCCTCAGCCTCCCAAGTTCTGGTATTGAAGGCATGTATTGCCATACCTGGACAATTAAATATTATTTGAGAGAGATGATCCATGTCTTTAAAAAGGCTATGAGTCTGCCTGTTCTTTGATTCACAACCCAGACTGCTGTTTTTCAATGGGCACGTTAGACTCATTTCTTCCTGCCTACTTGTATGAAAAAAAAGAAACTTGCCCTATGGATTTGTTTCAATAATGGCAGCCTTAGATACTTTCTGTTCTACTCCTCTGTTTCCATTCCATTTGTGTCTTTAGAGGTAAATATCTTTTTAGTGACTTGACTAATATGAAAACATCATGCCTGTTTCTCCCAGTCCAGTACAGAGTGAGGGGGTTCAATGCCCCCTAGAGATTGTGTCAAGTTTAAGTCAAGTATAAATTTACTTCTCTGGTCACAGAACCTTTTATTTTTGGGTCTGCTTCATGGACCCAATTGGTTTTCAATCATTAACCATGATCTGATGCTCAGTTTGTGTTCCCAATTCCCTAAAATCCCTACTGCTCTTTCAGTGACATATGTGACTTTTGCATATCGCTAGCTTTCTAAAGAAGGATTCAGATTAAACATTGACAGGACATCTCTGAAAAAGCCTTGTAGTTTAGAAGCAACTGGAGATGCAACATTTACCCAATGTCCTTTCTTACCCTTTCCAGCAACAGAGATCCACAATGAGAAATTCATTGTCTTCATATGTGTTAATGTGATGGAAGAGATTGAAAGAAGAGGTCCTGTATTTATTATTAAGGTACTTTCTTCTTTTTTTGTCGGCAATATGAAGCCAAACCTTTGGGAAGTAAGGAAAATATTTTGATGCATTTAAAAAGTCTACTTTATGAACCATACCTTCTTCCAAGTCACAAACTTGACACATAAATCGATCTTACCCCCATGGTTTCATTGGACTCAAAACAGTCCATGTAGTTGGCTCCCCAAAGACTCCATGAAGAAAGGAACTTGAACAGGTTGATTTTGACTGGTGTCTCCACAAAAACAATATAGTTGGGAGTCAGACCAAAACTGTTCAGAAACACAAATTGGCTTTGTGAATGGAAGGGCTGATTCTCAAGCTACAGGGATGCACACACACACACACAGACACACATACACACAGTATGCTTAATTACATGAATCAACAGTGCCTTCATGAAATTAGTTATGTTTAAACTTGTTTTTTTTTGCAAGACTGTCAAGATCAGGATTGTTATCAAAGGTAGGCAAAACAGATCTTTAAGCATCAGTTTTCCTGAAAAGTAGTAGCAGGCCTTCAAGTTACCTATGGACGTAAGATGGCTTGAATCGGTCACTGCAGGGAAATTGTACAACAACCTCTGATTTGCTTATTGGATCTTCCTTATCTGAAATAAAGTGGTTTTAAAAATCTTTGGAAGAGCCTCTTATTTTTAAATACAAAACATTTATAATAGCTCATATAAGCAAAGAAACACATTTTCAGATATTTTTCTTTCAGAGCTTATCTTTACTTTCTCAGTCATTGGCATATCTTAGTGAAATTTCATGTGAAATTGCAATCACCCAGGAAAATCCACAGTGCAGCAGATTTGGAAAAGTGCACTCAAATAGAATGTGGGAGAGTGTTATAAAGTCACATCCTGCAACAAACTGAGATGGGTTTTAAGTCAGAGGAGTCAGGCAAATGTTTAGTATAGTCAAAATGCCTTTTATAGGATCTTAAGATGTCTAAAAATTGTGGTGTAGATGAGTTTATGTCAACAGCCCTGCACAGTAATTCCTATGTATGTTAAAGTTAGTGCAAAGCCATTGACCCTCAAACCTTGGTGTGCATCAGAAAAATCCCATAAATGACTTCTTAAAATACTGATTGTGGCTCCACTCCCAGAATTCAGTTTGCCTGAGGTGGGGCTTAGGCTTTCTATTCCTAACAGTTTTCCAAGATAATTACTCTGGCCCAGGGGCTACATTTCTATAACTATACTAAGCAATACTAAACGAAAATCCTTATGAATTCAAATAATTCTTTAATCAAGATGGTTATCCATAAACCTGGCAATGAAAGAAGGTGAATGGAGACGTCTTGAATACTTTCTCTTCTGTTTTAATTCTTTTCTTAGACTTGTTTTTAGTTTTGGGGAATTAAACACAAAGAGTACACTTTCATATATCTAGGTGTGTGTATATACATATGTTGTTATGCACACACAGATGTTTATTTAATTTACTTTTGCTCAGCACATGAATAAGTGCTTAATAAATGTTTGCTGAGTCTGGTGTAGCGATACACACCTGTGATCCCAGCACTTGGGAGACTGAGACAGAAGAACCTACCTTTGATAGCAGCTTAGACTACATAATGAGACCCTATCTCAAAAAAACCTTAGATACAAATAAACAAATAAATAATCAAAAAAGAAAGCATTTATTGGGTTTAAAGCTAAGTTGGATATGACCAAATCCATCTAGACACTAGATCTTGTAATGTTGTGGAACAGAACTTGACCACTTACTTTCTGTATTTTTCAGGATGTCATCCCTTGCTGTGATGCCTTTGGGCATTAGTCTTCTGGTAGGGTAAGGATGAGATCAATTGTCCAAGAGTAACTTAACTATGCATATAATGCTATTCTGGAATTTTGATCTGGAAGCCTGTATTTACAGTAACTTTCACAATATAAATACTTCTTTTCTGGAGAGGAAAGGTTGGTAAACTCACCTGCTTGCAGTGGAGGAATCCTTACTATATTGTAGGCAATTGAAAAGTTTTTCCCAAAGCAATTACCAATGTTGTAAACAGTGCCATCACTTTCAATGTGGGGGTGAGCAGTGGCTCCATTGACTGAGACATACTTGCAAAGATCAACCTACAGAAGGAGAGCAAATGTCGTCCATAGTAAGGGGAAGACCATTCCACTGTTCACAGTGGAAACAGACCAGTAACAAAGCCACCCCATAGCTTCACATTTCCAACTAAAGCACCGTGCTGGAACACAGAGGCAGTTCAGAGTCTGATAATGATTAGAGACTCAACTTCCACTCTTCTCTAAGTGATCTACGCACACTTGAATATGCTTACACACGTGACAACAAGAAAGGAGTGGAGAGTACATATTAATACTTAGTAAATAATGTGTTGAGAATTATGTCACCTTCTAATATTCAGAACCCTTGTCAAGGACTATTTTTTGCTTCATATTTCTACTGCCACTGCGTTTATAACTCTGATCTCTTTCTGTTTTAAAATTTATTTTAACTGGTACATTAAAAACATAAAAATGTACATATTTCCCTGGTACCCTGTGACGTTTCAATACATATGTACATTGAGTAATGCTTAAATCAGTTAAGTATATCTGTCCACTAATCTTCAAAATTTCTTTATGTCAAAAACATTCAAAATCCTTTCTTTTAGCCTTTTGAAATACAGTAGACCCTTGGTCTCTGCAGGTGTATGTTTCTAAGGAGACTACCATTAAGGAAATATTGCAAATCCTCAGGATGTATAGTTTAGTGCTGTACTGCAGATGCTTGATTCATTTTTTCCATAATGCCACCCAACTTCAACTAAAGACATGCTGCTTTTCAACAAATCTAAAACTTTCACCTTATCACTTAAATTAAGCACACCAACTTTTACCTTGCTTTTGGGACACCATTTCCTTTTTTGAGAGGCATACTTTCAAAAAATTAAGTGCAGGGAAACAGTCAACAGGTTAATCATAACTGACAACCATGCAGGGCTGACTGAGAGTTTCTCTGCATCAGCTGAGCTGCTTAATGTGAATACAGGAGTTTAGAAGTTTTGTTTTTGAAATTTTTAGTTTTTACAATTTATTATATTTTGACCACGCTTGGTCAAAGCCATGCATAATAAATCCCAAAATAATATGGGCTTATTGCATATACTACATTAGTGTTATCCATAGTCTTGAATTCCATTATTGGTCTCCTAGCTATTCTTTATCTCTGTTGTCCTCCCATTCATCCTCACCTTGCTTCTCAGTTAAACATCCTAAAAGTATAGCTCTCCTTATACCATTTCTTTGAGCAAAGACTTTCAGTAGCCTCCCATTAGCTAAACAATTTTAGTTCATAATTTTAGCCCATTATTAAGCTTTCGGTTTCACTCTACACTTTGTCCCTCGATTACCCTTGACATTACATACTCTAGACAACTAATTCTCAATTGAGAGTGTTATTGCCCCTTACTGGGAGATCTGGATATGTAAGAGACATTTTGGGCTTGTATAATGATTGAAGACATTCCTGGTATTTAGTGGATGAGGTCAAGAACACCAAACCTCTGCAACATTGAGTCATCTCTTGTCCAAGGTTGCTAGTGCCACCAGTGAGAAACACCGCAAATCTAGCCGAGAGATCATTCTTGTTTCCATGAACACTTCCTTTTTTTTCCCCCACCTCTATGCCTTTGATCATGTTATCCCCTCCATCTAAAATGTCATTTTGCTAAACTCACTGATGTCTTACTTTAAAAAAAATCTAGCTCAAATACAAGTCTTTTGAACATTCGTTGATCTGCCATTTCCACATCCAACTACTGTGAGGGTAATCTCTTATCTGTGCTTTCTTAGGTTTTCCTTAAAGGGCTCATCACATTTCTGTCCTGTTATAGTTGTATATCTCTTTGATTTCCCCATTTAGATGTTAAGCTTCCTAAAGACAAGAGCAATGGTTGCAAGTATGTGTCAATAAATATTGAATGAAATTGTGAGTTTATTTTAAAGAATATAGCACTGAGTTGCCTAAATTCTCAGAAAAATTAGTGACCTTCTAATATAACTAATATTTTGGTCCATGTCATTTCATTTTAAGATATTAATTTATTTCTAATAAGAAATATCTATAAGAAGAGGCAAATTGGTGCAACATATTTGCCTAGAATTTTAAATAGCAGGGCTTTCAATATTGATAGCTATAATTTTTTGAACACCTAGTGTGTATCTGATCCATGCTAGCCTATAAAAGCCTTGAAAGTCAAGCACCATGTTGTCTTACTCATTTTATATCTCATGTGCCTGAAAAGTGCTCAATAAATATTTGTGTTATGTATGAATTAATGAATGAAAGAGTATGCTAGGCATTTCGTGTGCTTTCCTCTCATCTTTATAAGTGTTTTAAAATGTCATAGATGAAGAAAGAAATTTTGTCCTATGTTACATAGCTAGTAGTTGGTGACAAGCAACAATTTGAAACCTAATATGGCTCCTGCATTCTTTCCATCAAACTGTACAGTTAATTCTGAGTTCCAAAGTTTAAAATCTTTAGCAATGTCACCAAAGCACCATGTCCTACCTGCTTAATTGTCTCCAAAGTCTCTGGATTAATTTTTGTAATGAAGTTAGTCTCTGTGCAGGCATAATAATCTTCCCCCACCGGGTAGATATTTACAAGGGCATTGTCGGTAACCTCCACTCCTCGGAAATAAGAAAAGAACCTGCAGAAGCAAATGAGTTTTTCAGTTCAGTAGCTTTCAAGCTATGAGAGAAAAAGGGCTTCAATGTAAAATGTCTTTAATAACATGTAGTTTGGTTTCAGTAACCAACCTGGAAAATATATTCTTGCAGGGATCTGGGAAAGCACAGGTGCCAAATTCTGTTATGACAATCCTTTTCTCAGTCATTGCCCGGACATAAGCATCAGTGCGGATGAACCTGAAGGACATTGAAACATGGCAAAGGGCCAGACAAGAGCCATCAGTGCAGTCCAAGTGGAGCTTAGAATGGTCATTCAATATGTTTTCATCATGGCAGGATCATAAGGCCACAATGTAAAGAATAAAGAGTATTGTTAGTCCTCTTTCTTAGAGTAACCATGGGAGAAAAGAGACAATGTGCCCCAAGCTTAAATTTAGTCCTTTAAACCTTTCAGTGACACATAAAGGACTTCAGGTTCAGAGAAAGGTAAGCGATTGGCATATGAGGCTAACCTTTGGTAGAATGCAAATTGGCCAGTCAAAACAATTGAACTTTCCATATCATTCCACATTGACCCATGGGCGGCTTACCTAGGACTCCTCACACTCTGTAGCCTGTAATCTATCATGTAATACAGTGTGCTGAATTATATTCCTTTCAATTTCCCTTATACCTCTTGTTTTTTGCTTCAGTTTTGGTGACTATTTTGCCATACTTTAAAAATTGATATTCTTGAATTCTATCTCTTGCATTGGAAGATCTGCTGAACCACATCCCAGACTAGCTGGCAAATGTTGACTAGGATTTTTTACATTGAGAACAAATTTAACTCAGATTTTATTCCTTAGAAGCCACATGAAAGCTTTATCCAAACTCTAACATTTGCTCTCATAGCTAAAGTTTTGCTTGGCATGACCTGCTTCTCTTCTGTCACAGTCCAAGTTATCCTGACTATTTCAAGTTTCCATTTACTCCTCCTTTTGATGTTTCCTAAAAATGCGTAAAATTTGTAGTGATCAACAAAACCACAACCAGCCTTGAAAATTAAGTAAGAGACAAAGTATTTTTTCGTGGTGCTTTTTGGGCTTATTAGAATGATGGCTTGGGCCTGCAAACCTTTTAGTAATAACCTCTTGTTTTTAGAAAACTCTTTCTGATTATCTCTATGACATATGTGGTACTTCCCTTTTTTGTGGTACCTCTCTCTCCTTTCCTGTCCTTTCTGATTATAAAAAATGAAGAGAATCAAGATATCCAGTAGTATAATAATAATAATTATAGTAAAAACTGTAACAACAACTTTGTTATTGCTGAGTGCTTTATAGGTGCTAGACACTGTGCTCTGGTAATAAATCCATCAAGTAGACTCTATTATCTCCTCAATTTACTGATTAAAAAAACCCCCACACATCAAGAATTAGAGGTTAACATGTAGCTAGAGGTTACCAATCGAGTCAAGTGGTGGCTGGTGAATGTAGGATTTGAAACCAGGCATATGACCCCAAGGCCCTAGTTCTTGGCTGATTTATTATCTCATGGTAGGGTTACCAGGGGTCTATGTAGACACCTTGGCCCAGATAGATTCTGAGAAAGACGTAGGTATAGAGGTCCCCTTTTGGGTTCAGTAGGTTCAAAGGTACATGGGAGGGGGAGCTGAGCCAGGCCCCTTTGAGGAGAGAGGAGGACTGAGCACTCCCTTACCTTCTATGGTATGTGACATGTCCTTCTTTAAAGTCAAACTTGTGCAGGAGGGCTTGCCCATCAAACAGGTGGTAAAATGGCTCAGCTCCGACTTCAAAGAGTCCTGGCCCACATCGAAGGAGACTGCCAGTAAGCCAGAGGGGGATCCTGCCTGGGATGGAATGAGACACAGAGCATGGCTTCTTATTGCTACCCTTGGGCTGAGCTCATTCCTCATAACTTGGAGTGATTGTACTAGCATCCCAATTGGGCATCCTCTTCTGGATTTCATTCCCAGAGCACATGCTGGACAGCACTTACAAGGGTCTCCTTTCACTAGGAGACCAGATGGTGGGAAGTGTGCCAGTCCCAGAGTCAGAATGATGGGATGGAAGAAGTGAGGAGAAAGCATCTTAGGTGAATGGGAGTCTCCATCTAACAGGGTCTCCAATACCAATCCATCTGCCTCTTTGCCATTTTACTTTAAAAAAGAATTTCAAATTTCTTAATGTACTTTGATGGATTGAAGGGTAGAAGGATGGAATATGGGAAAGGATAAAGACACTTTAAAAAGTGTATCTATAGAAGAAACTGTTCAAATGACCTTTGAAATCTAGAACTTCATCCCTCCTAGGGTGTGAATCAAGATATCCTATGCAAGTTCACCTGGTATAGTAGAAAGTACATAGAGCTGGGTGTCAGAAGCTGGATTCTAGGTCAGGATGTGCCACATGTCCTCCTGGGGTTTTGGTTTCTTCATATGCAAAATGACAGGTATCCAAGATAGTCCTTAAGGACTTACAGCTTTCACAGTCAGGTTTTGTGCCCTGTTATCTTTTGCAAAGGACAGTATTTGGCAGTGTTTGCTTAATCCTTACCAGGATTTTTTTTAAATGGATTATTTCCTATAGCTCAATTTGAGTAGCCTTTCTGATATGAGGTAAAATCTTGGACAGTTTACCTAAAAGCACAAGGCTGACTTTTTCCTGATGCCAGATTGTTAGCATCAGCATCTAGTTGAGAAAGAGATTTTGCCTCATCATCTTCTGTGTTGCAGAGGAAGAAGTTGGGAAGAGAGAGACCGCCCAGGCACTGACCATTCCCATGACACCATGTTACACCCAGCAGGGAGACTATATGGATCAAGTGGTGTCTTTGGACAAGAATGATGTTAGTGATAGTAACTTCCATCTGTGTCTGATACTGGGTGAATCATTCCATTTATATTACCTCATTTAATCTTTACAACATCCCCATGACATAAGTTTTGGGTTTCAGTAGGTGAAGGGATTGAAGTTCAGAAAGCTTAAGTAACTTATAAGATTTAAGTAATTTGTAATATCCACCATGCTTGAGCATGGTGAATATTAAAGCTGGCACTACTATGTCTGCCAGTCTCAAGAAACAACACTCTTCTAAAATAATGCACATAAAGTTCACCACCCTTTAATGTAATATTCCCAAATGATTTCCACTACACCCTCATTTATTTACACCCTGGTGAGACAGACACATTGAGCTAGGCACAGTCAGTTTGAAGATGACAAAAGTCATTAAGGAATTCCAGTTAGGTAGCACTTGGCTACGTTAGAGAAGTGAAATGACAGTAAATCCACAAGGAAACGGGTTCTTGTTGTAAAAACCCTGAATCTTCAGATTCCCTTCCTTGCAGCCCATAGAGGGAGCTAGTACTGAGAGATGCCAGTGAATATGAAGCCAGAGAAGAAAGACCTCAGCAGAAAAGAAGATGACTCCAAATGTGCTAATACCAACCTGTGACATGAGCTGTTAGTGGCGAAGACAGTTCCTCCACAGTTTCAAACAGCTTCTTGTAACCACCAGCAGGGTGCTCAACTCTGAAATGGTGGGATAATGAGGAAGAAGCCTAGATGATGCTCTCAGAAGCCCAGGGAGACAGAGGCAGTGCTCCAGGAATGTAGGTGCTTCTGGCTCGATCCCAGTGTGCTACTGCCAGTCAGGTCTTAGCCAGGGAGCACACAGGGCAGAAACAAAGTGTTCTCAGGGAAGGAAAGGGGCCCCAGCACCAATCTCTTTCTTTCACATCAGTAGGAATGACTTTTTTTTTAATGTCAGTGGTCACGTTGGACTTAATCCTACCCTCTGCAGTTTTCTCATATTCCTGAAGTCAAATCAACTGATCCTTCTGCTGTCACTTGTCTTCCTGAGCTTTGAGGCTGCGAAAGGTCTTTCCCAAGAAGCACCCTATCCCAGCTGAGTATGTCACTGACTTTCTCACTTTTTGCATTTTATAAGTTTTTAGAGTGGGAGTTCTGATTAGATTTTCTAATTATTATTATTTTGTGTATGTGTGTGTGTGTGGTACTGAGATCTGAGGTTTGAATTCAGGGGTTTGTGCTACGTAGGCAGATACTCTACCATTTGAGTCACATCCTCAGCCCCTATATTTCCTAATTATAATAATTACTTTTAATTAATCACTACTATGGGCCACATGCTGTAAAAAGAACTTTGCATAGTAATAACTCATTTAAATCTCACAACAACACAATGGGATAAGCAATAGTTATAGTAGTCTACATATGGAATAACCTTGAAAAAATTAAGTAAAATGACTTAAGTTATTTGCTTACAGTCACACAGTTAGGAAATGACTAGGCGAGAAGTGGCATCATGGACCAGGTGCCAGCGGCTCACGTCTATAATCCTAGCTACTTGGGAGGCTGAGATTGGAAGGATCAGCCTGAACAAATAGTTACCAAAACTCCAAATCCAAAATAACCAGAGCAAAATGTACTGGAGGGGCTCAAGTGGTAGAGAGCCTACTTTTTGAGTGCCTGCTTTGTAAGTGGGAAGCCCTTAGTTCAAACCCTGGTCCCCCTCGCCCCCCATACATACAAAAAATGGAGCCATAGTTTGTCAGATATCTCTATGCTCACAGCTGCTTCCAAGCCCCAATGTAAATCTCACCATCACTTGGATTTAAAGTTTCTACATTTACTTAATATAGGAAGAAATGGCTCCCTCCAGACCTATGGGTCTTCTTTGAACAGATCATCAATCAACATTATTTTTTCAGGAGCTCTGGTAATACCCCATTCATCATCTAATGCCATCACTAAGGCATTATAAAAAGTCTCCCAAGGATACTTACTGTATAGACATTTTCTCCCAGTGGAGGATCAAGAACCAGCTGTGGAATGAGAAAGCAAGTCCTTGGTTAGGGGCTTTTGTATGTCTTCTAAGTCTCCCTAAAAGGAGTTACGGCTTTGGGAAGCCTTCTCTACCCCCTCAGCTGAGGGAGGGGGAAACAGAAGTGGCTTTCAGCACTTCTGATGCTGGAGTATTATTTGGACTTTCTGTTTCCATAACGGTTTTTTGGCTGTCTTTCAGAGACCTCAATCCTTCCCAAGAAGAATGAGAAGTAGATTAAAAAGAAAGAAGCCATGTGGGAGTGGCTTATCAAGCCTGAGCTGGTCTGAGTCACCCCACTGGAACCTGGTACCATTCTTTGGCACACACTTTCCTCTACCACTTCTGTGCCCTTATGCCTTCATTCATTTATTCACTCACTTGTTTAAAAAGTATTTATCATGTATCAATGGACTAAACAGAAATGGGTACTATTCTTGTATTCCTAACTCATAACTTTGGTAGGGTAACAGGAAAGTAACAAAGTATATGGTAAAATTTGGTTAGTGCTAAGATTGGAGAGGTAGGGAGTGTTGTGAAAGTGTATTCTAACCCCTCTACCCCCCCAGCTGCCATACTGGTACCATTCACTATCCAAATTCTTCCAATGAGATTGAAGACATTATTTATTTATTCATTTTTGATTTGCTGAGGATGAAACTCTTTTCCTTTCCTTGCTTGTCACTAATGTTTGGCTCTCTAACTCACCTTCCTGTCTACTGGTATCTGTTCTTCACTTACAGAGCATATAACACAATTTCACTTAGATTTCCTTACTCCTATTAAGTCCCAATTGTTACTGAGCACAGACATGTACTCAGTGGAGTGCTTGGGAAACAGACAAGATGTAGACTATACCAGCTTCAGCTTTCACATTTTCAAGAAAGTAATGAATAACTTTAAATTTAATAAGTGATTCTGACTACTTACCCTAGAGCTGGTCTTCAGCAAATTATATAAGAATTAATCGAGTGCTCCTTAAGATAGATAAGAGGAATGTACTTTCCCAGCTTGCCTGTACTGATGGCAAAGGTCTACGAGCAGGAACTCACCAATCAGACAGTAGCAGAGGTATGGTGGTAATGCCTAATGTCCAACATCAGTGGTGTTTTTACTCATCCATGGTAGTCCTGGTGTCTGTACTCTCTACAGGGGAACCTAGGGATTAATACTAGCCAGGTAGCCTCCAAGCTCCATTGTTTAACTATCTCAGAGATTCTGTTAGTTACCTAATATTTACAATGTTTGTGCATTGCTTTAATTAAGTGCAGTTGGTCTCATTGTTTGCAACTAAGGGTCAAGCTCTATAAAAATAATGGTGGTATAAGATAATGTAAACACTGGAAGAATGTCTATGTTGCTATTAAGAGGTCCCAGAAGAGAGAGCAAATATCTACACTGAGAATAAAAGAATATATAAAAGTTAAATAGTCAAAGGACAAGTTGAAGAGTTTTTTGGCACAGCTTAAAGTTTCAAAGTAAGGGTAATGTAGGGAACGAGCAAGTGGTGAAACTAGATTAGAGGTAGTCTGGGGTGGGATTTTGTAGAAACTTGAAGAAATCAAGACCCATGTTATGAAGAGAAGGAGATCACTGAAATGTTTTATTCATGAGTGACATGATCTGACTTGCACTTTATTAAGCATTTGTATTATGAGTAATATATAGGAATGGGAGATTTAGGCAAGACAAATTAGAGGGAGGCACAGATCAAACAAGAGAGTAGGAGGATGCCCTGGAGATGGATATAAAAGGTCAGATTGAAGTGTATTTTAGAGAAGGCCTGATCAACCTTTGTGGGTAGCAAATGTGTTGGAGAAATAAAAGGCATAAAAAGGGTGGTTTTAGGAATGCAGAGAAAGTAGTTTTATTTATTAAAGGCAGAAACCACTAGGAGGTGTAATTATCTGGGGTCCTCATAGGGAGGCAGAATGAGTCAGAATCTGAGGATGGACTGGGTGTGGATGAGGAAAGATGGACAAGACATTGCTAGTAAAGGATGCAAAGTGAGAGAAGACAGAGGTGGGCAGTTTGGAAGAGCATGTTAGAAGGACTTTCTATCTTCTGAACCATTTTTGCTAGATTTCAATTTCTAAGGAGAGTCTTTTTCTTGAGTAGAAGTGTGAGTCATATGGTGCTATTTACATACACTTAGTCCCTGAAGAGAAATTCTAGGAATACTAGAGTCCAGCTGTTTTTCTCCACTTTCACCTCTCCTCCTTCCATTACAAGGGATCAAATGAGAAGGTTTTTTTTCCTGAAAGTCTACACTAGCTGAGTGACAGGGCATTAAAAAAACTGCACTTTATGCTGAAGATCCCTTCCTGGGAGATGAAAATCGTCTTCCTGGTGCTCCTGCAAGCCCCCAAAGACTTGCTTAGGTATTTTTATGTTGCCTTTGGTGTTCTGGGCTGAAGTCACAATGTTTAAATACACAAGCTGGTTTTCATGATTTTTTGTGTTGTTTTGTATCTTTAGTATCCTTTATGTTTCTACCTACATAGATACCAGATGTCAGCTCCTTGAGGAATATTTCTTTTAAAAGTATAAATCATGGGAAATCATTCTTGGAAGGCACATAGACTGAAAGACCATGAGTTGTCAAGTTCGTATGCATGGATAAATTCAACATGAAAACTAATTTTTGAGAATTAAACCTCATTGAATCCTGAGTTCTTTAGTTATAAGGAGGGAAAATATGTGAAAGCATTTGTTAGCCAAAAGTATTTCCCACTATTATTAAGTAGTGCTTGCCAGTGTCCCGTCTCGGGAAGTTTAATTTCATGTGTGATCTTTTAACTAATAACTCCTGCCTTAAGGGTAGCCCATTTTCCTCTATTCCACCATTGGTGCGCAGTTAATGATTGGCTATGCTACATCCTTTAAAAGCATCATTTGGGCTTATTTGTTTCTAAATTCCTAAATGGAGACCTCTTTTCCAGGTTAACCTTAATTCTCCTGTAGTTTCTTCATGATACACTGGATCACCAATGCTACTTTCCTTTTATCTTCTTCTCTTATCCTCCATCTTAATTTTTTTTTGTCATTTAGTAAAACCAGCTTTTCATGTTCAATTTGGTAAGCCAGATTTTCATGTTCAGTAAACTAAACCTTAGAGTACTTGCCTAGCAAGCGTAAGGTCCTGATTTCAAGAAATAATACCATGAAAAAAAAACACTTTTATTTTGGTAAATTTTGATACATTTACCAGAATAATATTCCATGAATAAAACTAAAAATATTAAAACAGTAAAACTCCTTTCTGTGAGTAGATATTCCTAAATAGGAACAGAGTTCCCATTTCCTTGAAGAATTTTTTTTGGTGAGGCAGTACTGGGGCTTGAACTCAGGACTTTCACATTTGTGAAGTAGGCACTCTACCGCTTGAATCATACCTCCAGCTCTTTTTGTTCTGGTTATTTTGTAGCTAGGATCTTGCGTTTTGCTCTGGCAAGCCTGAATTGCAAATCTGAACTCCTATTTTACCCTTCTGGCTGTAGCTGGAATGACAGGCAGAGGCCACCATGCTGAGGGTCTCACAAACTTTTCCTCATCTGAGCCTCCCAAGTTGCTAGGATTATAAGCATAAGCCACCAGTACCCAGGTAAGAAGAGAAAATATTAAAAGCTGCTTTTCATCCTGGTATCAAGCAGACCACACAGTACCTGAGGGTAATAAAGAGGTGTTCACAGTGTACGCTGAGAACAGTGAGATGGTATGGCAGGAGAATTATTGAGGTGATCTGATTCATGTTTTGAAAACAAATAGCTGTCACAGAGATGTGAAGAATGGATTCTATCTAAGTGGCCAGAGTGGAAGCAGGAAGCAGCAGTTCAGCTGAGTTGATGAGGGTTTAGACTAGAGTAGACCAATACACATTGAAAAAAGTGGGTGAGTTTGAGGTCTGTTTTGTAGGTAGAAATTACAAAACTGGTACCATAGGTTGATATGTATGGGATATAAGAAAATGGGGTAAAGTTGCTAATATTGTAGTATAAAAATTAAATATTGAACGTCAGTATCATACAACAATAAGTGGGGTGGGTGGCTAGGTAGATCTGCTGACATGGCTGGACTGTCTCATGACTGAAGTTTGTCCTGCTGTTGGCTGTTCCAGGTCTCAGCTGGGATAAGCAGGGTGACTTGGCTTTGCTATACGTGTTTCCTCTCCAGGAGGCTAGCCTGGGAAATGTTCTCCTGGCTGTCCCAGAGAGGAAAGAGAGCAAGTGGAAAAAACAACAAAAAAATCACTTAAAGCCTAAGCACAGAACTGACACTGTCTCTTCCATCACCTTCCTTTAGCCAAAACAAGTCATGAGGCCAGCCAGAACTCAAGGTGTAAAAATCTCTTCAGTCTCTGTAATCTTTAGTACGAACAACTACAATGTCACACGGCAAGGTCATAGATACAAGGAAGAATGAAAATTGTTTTTCAGCCTAGCATATAGGCAACTGAAGTAGAATTTTTGGCTTGAGCAATTGAGTGTCATGCCATTCTCCAGAAATAGAAGCTAATGGTTTAATGGGAATGGGTTTCTGAAGAGTTCCAGTTACATATAAGATGCTATAGATGTTCATCTTCTCCATCCTGCTCTTTATTTGCCCACCCCCTCCCTCCCTCTGGTAGCAATCCTCATCTTTCTTCCTTACCACACCCAAGGAACTTTCTCAGTGGTGGTCAGATCCAAACCAAAGTGGTGCAATCCCACAGCTTACATTCTTACAACTACAGTAAGCCCATCTTATTTGTTTATTTATTATATATGATTTCGATCAAGCATGGTCAAAAATAAATTTTAGAGGAATCAAAAGAAATTTCAAAAAAATTTTTGAATTCCTGTGCATATTATACAGATTAGTTGATGTGGAGAAGCTCGGTCAGTCTTGCATTATTGTCAGTTGTGTGATCTGCTGAATGTTTCTCTGTCCTTAATCATAATAATACAGGGTCTGCTCTATTATTTTCATCTACATATGGAAGTTGTGATTA